GCGTTCAGAAGAATAAGATTCAGTCTCAAGAAAAAAAAATGCAACACGAAAACTAATGACCAATGTTTTTCGTCATTTCAAGTACGCGTAGTAACTATCTGGTCACTGTCAAAGATGCTGGTGCCTTGTTAATTTTTGTTTTCTTACTCGACACCGTCTGTGATGTGTGGAATTTTGAAAACTCTTAGAAGCTTTGTTTAAAGGAATTGCATCAAAGTCAACTTACTTAAAGTAGAAAGGGCTAGAGATAGATGAATTTTTTTCATTTCATCTCTGAACGTCAAAAGGGAATTCGTTCTAGCCGCCGTAACATGACCGAGTCAGATGCTATGGTACAAAAGAATGACATAAGACCTTTCCCCAAAATCGACCGGTTAAAGGCGGCAGCTGGCTATAGATGATAGTTCAAAGTAATGATTAATTACGGCATGATTAGTTGTTTAGTTTTCTTGTCAATCCAAAAATTCTACGAACAGGTTTAGGAAACAGTCTATTCCGATTGGTTAATATGGATTTATGGGCGTAACTCTGTAAGAAATTAAAGGTTTTACTTTAGGAAAATTCCCTGAACAATCACAGGACCAGAACAAGTTCTACGCAGAAACCTAAGTCCAGAGACGATTGTTAAGTCAGAGTTCGACGGACAAGAGTCCAAGACGAAACAGCTAGATCGGCAGAGCAGGGACGAAAGGAAGTCCTGATGTCCGCATAAAATAGGTGATGAAGTCTCTCATCGTTGCACTCAAAGGTCACATCTCATTGGCAATGAAGAAAGTATATTAACGTTGAAAGTAATTTTACATTTAAAAAAATTTGTATTGTCCTTTTATTTGAGTACATGTTAGTATCATTTTCCCTTCTTTTGTAACTAAGTCATTGATTTCTTTCATTTTAAATTCTGTTGATAAACTGTTTAAATTTTATATTTGTTCATTGAAAGGGGGCTCGTCGTGTTTATTTCTTCAATATACTTGTTCAGTGATCTGCATTCTTCTTTCTATCTATCCACACTGAGTAAATCACACCGCGGAGGTCATTCCCTAGCAACGAACCGTAGTGAACGAGGTTGGTGTGTTTTGCACGCCGCCAATTTGTCACACCGTCTCTGTTTATTTTATCTGATTTACAATACACGTTCTTATCGTCTTGGGTAGCACAGCTATATACTATCTGTATTCAAATGTTTTTTTGGTTTTTTGTCTCTTTTAGTTTAATTCCAGCAACGTGTTTTCTACAGGTAGTCTTGGTACAATAATGCTTGTTAGAGGAACTTTCAAAGGTTGCTGACAGTCTCGTTTTCAGATAAAGAAAGAACTGTTTTCCTTTAGAAATAATTTTATTCACAAATGCTGAGATTTGTTTTAGGTTCGAATTGATGCCTTTCTTCTGATGACATAAATTCACTTTTTTCTTGAACAGAGAGTGATAGACTTCCAAGATGTAACCATCCGACGTAAGAAAAGCGTATTCAAAGCGAATGCAGTTAGTATGTAGACAGTCATTTAAACCTTTCATTATGTGCCCGATACATAATCGGAAAAGAACCAAAAGAAAATGTTTCTAAACATATTTCTAATTTAATTTTAATGTATTACTCATATGTTATTTAAGTATTTACTACATGTTATCAAACCGTTTTGATCTTTCATTTACCGATTTGGAAACACCATCTTCATTTTGAAGTTAATTTGTTCGCATATATTTTTACATGCTAAAGATTCAAATTAAATAATTCTTTTGAAGTGTTTTATTGGTTAAGCAGAGAGTGAAACTCTTCAAAGTTGTAGCCACCTGACGATAGAAAAGCAATTTCAAAACATTGCAACCAATGCTTTTTTGACTGCATATATTCAATCCCAAATTTGCATACATGTTTGACAAACAGCTAAAAAGGAAGCATAAGGACTAAAAGAAGTTATTTTAATCTGAACATGTTTTATTGGTCCATATTAATGAAGTTATTTGGGTTGAACAACAAGTTCTCTAGCTTTCATTCAGTCATCCTCCAGCACAACAGCTCTTAGCATCATACACAATGAAGGGAAACACAAATAGTGCGTGTGTATGTGTTTTTGTGTGTATGTATGTGTGTGCGTGTGATTTAGACTTTTAACGTAGCTTTAACAATTTTTCAGTCATATCACTACGATGTCTGCAGTGTGGCAGTTTATAGAGATGTCTAGCACTGGAGAATCATGCCGCAGACATGTAGCATGATGTCCCACCCAGTTACATTTCCTGACACCAGGTCGACCAATCCTAACACTAACTTCTGCATGCTGAGCGCCAAGCGAGGCAGCTCTTAGTACCATTTTTATAAGTCTTTGGTATGACTCGGCCGGGGATAAAACCCACGACCTCCTGCATCAGAGGCGGACGCTCTAACCACTAGGCCACTGGAGCTGTCTGAAAGACAGACAAACGATATTGAGCGATATACATGAATATGCGTGATACAGGTAATAACGGGTATTTAGCTAGTGTAAGTAATCGTTACAACAAATGATGGGGAAAAAAGGAAAATCGTCTGGTTTCCTTGATAAAATCTTCAACAGCTATAAACTCTTTACAGTTTAGATCAGAAGCTAGTTGAGATGAACCTGAAGTCGCATGCAAAGGCAATCTGATTAAAATCAGATCTTCATGTTATACATTGACGACGACCGCTTAGGGGTCATATTCCGGCAACCTTTGAATTATCCATTGAAAATGCAACTTTAAAAAATCTGAAAGTGAATCAAATAGCTCGGTAGTCGTTCATGCCCTTCGTCCACACTGCTCATTCTCCAAGCACGAAGATAAAAGACTTCATCTCATTGGCTTTTAAAATTAGCGATTATGGTAATAACATAGGTTATCAGAACATGACCCCTAAGCCGTCGCTATCAAATTTTCATGTATAACATCTGAATCAGACGGAGGCAAAGGTATATGATCAAGGGTCAGAAATAAAATCCTGCGTTCATCTCCATAACGGTTAAACTAAACGCACACAAAAAAAAATGTCTCTTCCACAATTGCATACTGATGACTGAATTTCCTTTTCATGGTTAGTAAATAAGTCATCATTTGGAGTATTACATTTACTTCTTCTTGCATAGAGGTAAGAATACAATCTCTCAGTGTATCTAGTATAGAATTGGTTCACATGCTTAAAAAGTTATATAAGTCGTCTAAATTCACTAAGGAGTGGAACTAGTCTTACATTTTTTTTTGTAGGAAGGTTGTTCCATGCGGGTATATAGTTAAAAAAAGATAATCTCCTTGATACTTGTAATCTAACAAGAGAAATTTTGAAACCGTGTCGATTTGTTTGATTTTAAGTTATTAAATCCGCAGTAGAGGTGCGTGATGTTACCAGAATACTGGTATTCAAGGTATCTTTTTTCGGTGGTAAGTACCATTGTACTTTTCACTATACCGGCACTTCGGTCATTTCCGTCAGTAACGAATATAATTTTGTTACAGATTTAATGACATTGCAAATATGTTTTAAATAATGAGAAAAAACATCATTACTTTTTGCACAAAACATTTTTGTTTGTCAGAAATTAATTTTTAATACTACGACTATAATTATATAATGATATTTATGAAAGATTTATCGCATATTTGATGCGTGCCATGTAGGTCAAATGGTGGCAAATGGGAAGTTGTGAAAAATACGGTTCATGTTTACAATCGTACGTACCGCTATTTGTTTAGACATTTTTCGTGTTACCCAGGTCTAATCGGCACAGAGAGGTGGATGTAGCTCATAAGATAAAACAGGCATTGACTATTTATATTTTATGTCATGTACATAATGTAAGAATTTCGTTTTTTTTTTGCATGATTTTGATTATAGCAGTTCTGATAAGGTCAATAACAATTAGTGCTGCACTTAATTGGAGCTTTTCGAATCGATCTGAGCCTTCTCATGAACAACCGTCCCAGACAACGTCTACATGCTCTGAACGTTCTCGTATGAATTGCAAGCTTTTTTTTGTTCTCTAAATACTTCCGGGTTAATTTGAATTTAGTGTCCAGAGTCATCCTATAATTTTCGATACACAATTACACAGGTTGTGTGTGTGTGTGTGTGTGTGTGTGTGTGTGTGTGTGTGTGATAATTAGTTTCAGTCACTTCTAAGAATTACACGCACACATGACAGGTGTATAAAGTGTTTGCTGATCAAGAATTAGAGCGGGAAACTGGTAAGTTCAAATAAACATCATAGCATATGCTTTACTGAGATCATATTTCACTAGCTAATAATTAGACCAGACATATAGAGTTTCAAGGACAGTGTTCAAAACCTGATCAGTTTCATGAGCACGTTTGGGCGCATACATCGAGAATTAATCGTCCGACCCAGCGTATCATCAACAATATCGTTTATACATAAAAGAAAAAGAAGCGGTCGTAAGATAGACCCACGTAAAACAACTGCTTAAATTTCGATTGCCATAAGTTTAGCAATACACTGTTTTTCTCTCTGAAAGTAAGTTTCTTAACTATTCTAAGGGTTGATATATATTTTCATGGGTTCTTAAAGTGTATACCACAATGCCAAACCAAGTCGAATTCCATGGAGGGATCACAGAAAACAATACATATATTTTAATTCATTCGTAAGAGAAGCACATAGTTTGATGATAGCAGTCAATGAGCTAGTGAGAGGTAGACTGACAGGGTATAACTCTCAATTAAAGCACTGGTTCTTGATAAGAAAAATTAAAATATTTTAATATCTCCCAACTCGAGAGTAATATCGGTCTATAAATGGTAGGATCCCTCATGTCGTCTTTTCAAAAAAGGCGTAAGGGCTACCGTTTTCTGGATTCTAGGGAAAAAGTGTCATTTTGAATGATTTATTATGCGGTAAACATACGGGTTTGCTAATAGCAAAACTTGTGCCCTTTCGCAGTCTGTGTCCTATCTAATTTTAAAACTGATTCTGTCAACACCATTTGCTTAATGAATCGGAATATTTTGTGCCACGTACTAATTATATATAGACCGCTCCGGTGGCCTAGTGGTTAGAGCGTCCGCCCCGGATGCGAGAGGTTTTGGGTTTGAACCCAGGACGAGTCATACCAAAGACTTCTAAAAATAGTACTAACAACTGCCTCGCTAAGCGTTCAGTATTAAGATGTTAGCGTTAGGACTGGTCTTTCTGGTGTCAGGAAAATGTGGCTGGGTGGGACATCATGCTACATGTCTGCGGCGCATGATGTCCCAGTGCTAGACATCACCTTAAACTGCCAAACTGCAGACATCATAGCAATATGACTGAAAAATGACGTTGCCAAATCTAAATCACCCCCTTACCCCATATCTCTATTTGTAAATTAACTCTCGATCCTTGTACAGACAATAAAGATTCATTGATTTATTAATCAGTCAAACAACCTTATCCTAAAAAGCAGTTGCAATGAATAATGCACGTATTGAATGAATATACATATATTTTTTCATCTTAAACAAGAAAAGACCATTATTATATGGAATGTTTTAAACTGTAATTCTTATTGATAAGTGGAGTACAGAGTATCCGAGTGGTCAAAAGCGCTCACCGTTACGAATCACTGTCATTTAACCTCTGTCTGCGTGGGTTCGAGTCTCGGGCTTGGACAGTGTGGGTACATGAGAAAGCTTGCAAGTAGCTGCTCGTGAGTCAGAGCTTCTTTCTGCGGTTTTCCCGGGTTCTTCCTCCAGCATTTACACTGCCCGCCATGTATATCTTATCTTGTGCTGAAAATGGCGTTAAACCCTACAACAACAACAGAATTATTAAGAAGTTTCTGCAAGTTATGTATTTATTATTCCAGTTCAACCTTTCATGAAAATTAATATATATATATATATATATATATATATATATATATATATATATATATATATATATCTATATATATATATATATATATATATATATATATATATATATATATATATATTTCTTCTAGATTAACTTCATTTTAGTATTTATGGTCAGCCTCAAACGAATATTATAGTCAGAGCAAAATTCTTTCATATTATGACAGCCTCTTTATCCTTGCGAATAATAAGGTGAAAGGGTTAAGAATTTATTGGTCTTTCGATTCCAGTAATTGAAATTGTTTATTTAGTGCAAAGCTTTTAATAGCAGATATGACACCCTGATATCGTAGAAATTTAATTCCTCGTCGGATGATTGGTATAAATCAAAATTTGCAACCTAAGTATTATATATAAAGGCTCCAACAAAGCTACAGATTCCGATATCACACAGCAAGTTTCTATATGTGAAGTCTCCAACAGCGGTACAGATTTAGATGTCATGAAACTAATTATTATATATGAAGTCCCCTACAAGTTATTAAATGTAAAGTCACCAAGAAAGTTACAGATTCCGATATCATACAACTAATTATTATATAAAAAGGCTCCAACAAAGTGACAGATTTATTTACCATAAACTAAATGATAAATAAAGTCCCCAACAAAGTAACAAATTTAGATACCATAAACTAATGATACATAAAGTCTCCAACAAAATTACAAATTCAGATACCATAAACTAAAGATACATAAAGTCCCCAACAAAATTACAAATTCAGATACCATAAACTAATGATACATAAAGTCCCCAACAAAATTACAAGTTCAGATACCATAAACTAAAGATACATAAAGTCCCCAACAAAATTGCAAATTCAGATACCATAAACTAATGATAAATAAAGTCCCCAACAAAATGACAGATTCAAATACCACAAACTAATGATACATAAAGTCCCCAACAAAAACAACATATTCAGTTGTCATAAACTAATTATACATAAAGTCCCCAATAAAGTAACAGATTCGGATATTATACAGCTATTATTATACATAAAGTCCACAACAAAATACCAGATTACGATATCATACAGTTGTTAATAAAACACTTTTGCATGGTACATTTAGCTTTACACTGAACAACACCGGCTCTGTCAAGAATATTTTATTCTAAGTAAACATTCTAAACAAATCCTAATGAAATATATTATATTAATGGCAAAGAAATAGAATTTATGATAAAACGAATTCATTGACCCAATCCCCCCTCCCAAAAAACCTGTTAACGGCTTTCTCAGAAATGACATTCGTAACAAGTCTTGCGTTATCTGAGAGTACTCATCTGACGTCATACTTAATAAATCCATATAAAAAACCACTAATGGATAGACTAAATAAAAATTGTTTCCATATACAATTTATATGAAATTAATTTGATGAATGAAGAAAACTTATAATAATTATTGAATATTACTCCAAAAGAGTGTTACAAAGTCTTGATATTACAAGATTTATTTGGCTTCTAAAAAGTACTCTGGACATGCAGGCTAATACTAGCAATGAAAAGCATTCTGAGGACATACAATAGATTTTACACACACACACACGCACACACACACACACACACACACATACAAAACAGTTCTGGATAGCTGTTGTTAAAACTTTGTGTATAATTTCTGAGAAATGTAAATCAACATTAACTTATTAACATTTTTCGAATTATAATATACCTGTTTGAGAGGTTATTCGTTTATTTGCCTTTTTTCCTATGTAGAAACGACCAATAATGTCATTTATTCAGTGTTTATTTCTAATAATTTACCTGCTTGGTTCAGTTCCAGCTATAAATGGACTTGGTAATTTGCTACCTGCACATTGCTAATTGCTCTAGATTTCTAAGGTAACGTTCCCAGTTAATGAGTCCATTTTCAAGATGTTTGCATATACTATACCAACGTATGTCAGAAAAGACCTATCTGCTACAAACACCCAAAATGTGGAGGGTTGGTATGAGTTTTCAACAAAAATCACCTTTTCAATGACTCGTATATTTATCTTGCACATGTAATCCATATATAATTTTAAATGGATCACACGAAGTTATAATTAAGGCGTTTTGTTGTATAATTTAATGTGGTTACAACCACATGAGTAAAAAATGTACTGAATGCACAGAAACATTATATAGCAGTTATTGCTACTCTGTAAATCTGTTTCTAGTAACAGACACTGAATCTTCAGCCGTAATTTACTGAATTCCAAGACATTTGCCAGTCTGCATGTTCCCTTTCAAGAGCCATCGGTAGATGTTTCGAAAACTTTATCTTTTGGTGCAATTCCAGCATTATGTACTTACAGGTGGATTTGACGGTGATATGTTTAACCTGCATATCGGTAATTACTATAGAATGTTTGTCATGAACCGCTCTCAACGTGTTGAAAGCCCGATTTCCAGACCAATGTACACTGCCATACTCTGGAAATAAGACAAGAAAATCAAGGATTTTCGAGAATTAGCGAGAACTTATAGTTTGATTACCTGCAACCACCACATGAAAAAGAAAGATATTTCAAGGTTGCATATTCAATGGTTTGAGAGAGTGGGTATACATAATTCAAAAGATGCGCAATGTTCAATGTACGTATTCAAGTGGACCCGAGAAATATTAGTCATGTTGGTGTGTGCTTTAGCTTGGTATTTACTATAATCTTATACAAAAAGACTAATATACTCAACGAAGCAAAGACATTCAATGCAAAGAGAAATTTATTGTAGTGATGTATTTCTTTGTGTTTTTCTGTTGTTTTTTTTTACACCTCAGCATTTGTTTCGAAACCTTGCTACAGGTGCATATGGCTACGATATCTTACTCGCTAATTGCTCTAAAATGTTTTGTAATTGCCGTCGCTGCTTCTTGAAAGGCCATTATCATTTAGTCACTATATGATTACCTTTCGATAATAATAATAATAATAATAATAATAATAATAATAATAATAATAATAATAATTAAAAACTGGATATTTTCTACTAGAAGCAATGTATCTACATAGCGACGACCTTGAGTCACTGATCCACATGGTGGATTAACAGTTTTAACTGCAACCACAGGACGGAAGAAACAAATTAGTCATTGGATAGGACTTTGTATTTAGTTTAAAACTGACATCTAGGTGAAGTTCTTTACTAATTTATCTTTAATAATTAGCATCATATCCCAGTATCCACCCACCCACCCAGCGATATTTACAAACTAAAAGTCTCAATATACAAAGATAAATTTTTAATCTTTTTTTTACATTGAAAGTTTTACCACAATGTACTGATTTCCAAGGCATGCCATCTTAATATCCATTCCTCTTCTTCAGAAGTCATCAACATCCACAATCCTGCTTTACTGTAACTCTCTGTTTCAACGTTATCATTTGATTCACTGCCAACGACTGGTATATGAAGTTGAACTTAACTTTGATATTATGCTTGCATATCGCTCACTAATTCCTGTATAATTGTTGCCAGGTACCGTCTAAGCTTGCTAGAAAGGATGATTTAAAAGACTAATCCATATTTTCGTTAGCTTCTGCAATTTATCGTATGTGAATAAAAGAACCGTGAGATTTTGCACGAGAAGTTTCTACTTTTTTGATGGCCTGAATTCATGTTATGATTGATAAGGGAGATATAATTACCAACAAAAATGAAGGTAAATGACAGAAAACAGCTAAGAGGCTGGAGCCAGATCACCCTTGTTGAGAGATCTCTTATTTCTCCTGCGACCTCCTTGAGAATTGACACTCGTATTTCAATCTACATCTTGCGTAGAGTAAATAATACGTTTAGTGTCGATGCTTATATCGCATATTTTACCTTTTACACAAATGCCACGCTTGACTTATTGTTAACCCACCTTTAAGAAATACCAAGCTGTTTTAAACCGTTACCGCTAGATATGGTCGTTGGTCATTGGTAGACCCATAAAAGAGGTTATTAGTGCTGCAAGTCGTATTGATCGACCAACGTGAGGAGAGTATAGCACTTGCATCATAAGCGACATCACGATCGCTTACCTGGTTCCCGGCAAGTCAGCAAATAACGTGCAGGCAGACCCGGTACGAACACATACACTAACAATAGTGGCAGACTGGTTTACACTATGCCGAAGTATGAACATTACGGGAAATGAACCAGTTCAATATGGTCGTCGTTGGTAATGTAAAAAATGAAAACCACTCTGAGCTGTAGTCTCTGAATAAGCGAAACTGCTGGC